ATGAAATTCTGTGACTGTGAGTCTCTTCACAAAGTTCACATACCGCAATTCTTTGTTGGTTAAGACCTCCCTCAGCATGTATAAATATATAGCCGTTAGTTTCATTCTCTGTAGGAAAATCTGCAAGGAAATAAAAAGTTAGAGGAAAAATAAAAAAGATAATACGCAGCTTAATTAAAACATAATCAAGTTCTGAAAATTGAATCTTACAGAAATTGAATACATACACCCCAAGAAAATAGAGTAGTATTCATCAGCCTTTATTTCAAAATACCTGAAATTATGCCCTCACGTCGTTCAGCACAAGGTTTCCATGATGTAGTGGCTGAGTAAGGATTCTCCCAAAGTGATGGAGTCTCCTTTACCTACTTAGATTAAAAACAAAACTTTAATCAGACATAATCAGCTAGAAAGACAATAAAATTGGTAATTGTAATAACCTTTTGAACTTACATGAGGGCACTGTAGAGTTATGCCATCTTTTTTGCACAAATATGGGGCATTCTGCAACCAAAAAGCAGAGGAAAAGGTCCCAGACAAAATCATCAGACGTTGGAGAACAAGGGAGTGAACTTTCACAAGTGCAGTATTTACAAATGAAATCTAAATCAAACGTCACTTTACGCAAGTGAAACTTATCCGCATGAGAACCAAATTAAAAGCCAGGTAACATAGCAGGATTTCATACAAAGGGGACTACTACAGTACAATTTAGTTCCTTCATTAAATATATGCACCAAGAGCACGAAATTTCACTTCTTCTAAGTTTATCCGATCAAACTATCATTCAAATTATATATTTTTCTCAGTAAATCTCACTCGTCCAAATTCATTCGATTTAACTTGGCAATATGTTCAGTTGCAGTCACAAACCTTTAACACTTACATACAATGAAACTCAGAAGTAAGGATTCAATCATGCGCATCAAAAAACACAGTTGTGATGTCAAATAGACTCTTATGATCCAATATACATTCCTCATGTTATTCAAAACCTCTACTTGCCTAATTTTGTTCTCACAAGTAAGGCACATTTGACCCGTTCCAAAATTGAAGCAACAAGCAAGCATCTCTTCAACAATAAAGTATGACTTATACCATACAAAATGACGAGGAAGAAACACAAGAAATTAGCATGTAACCAAGAACAGTCAATGCATTAGAAATAGAAAGAGGAGAATAACATTTTAGGCATATAAAACGACACAATATACAAACGCACAAAAGGGTCACCGGCTCACCAATCGCTTGACGACAGACGAAACTGAAATCACGGCGGTAAAAACCACAGCGATGAGTACGAGAATCGAGATCTTGGATCTATGGGGGTGGGGCCTGTACAGATCGTCGTTTGGGGAGAAATATTGAGGAAGAAAAGGCTGGAAATACGAGCGGAAAGAGCGATCCCGAGAATATCGATCGCGACCGTTGTCATCGTCGTCGTCTTCGGCGGCGGATGAGTGGTGGTCGGCGGACAACGGAGACGGCGCGACGGACGCCGCGGATGGGGACGACGTGGAGCGGCTGCCGATGGAGCTCGAGTGGCGGAGCTCCGCCGTAGCTCGTTTCGGGCTGTACGCCAGCTTGACAATCGAAGATTGGCTCGCCTCGGCGTGGCTCCGGCCAGAGTAGACGGAGGTTTAGTGGTGGGTGGGTGGAGAAATTATCAAGTACAGCTGACACACTTTCATGTGACTGCCCGACTGTTTTTGGATTGTGTTTGAACTTTGAAATAAAGCCAATAATTAAAATAATGGCTAAAAGGGTATTATCGTCATTAACTACTCTCCTTTTGTCCTTTTCTTTTTATATTTTGTAAAGGAAAAAAATGATTTTCGTGTAGGTTGATACCAAAATTGATTAAATTATAATTTCATCTTTCAAAAGCTAAAAATCTATTAATATATAATAAAGATTAACATAATTCATTTTTAGAAATATTTTTTCGCCAATTTTATTAGGGTAATTAAGTAAGTAATACAGATTATCATCTCCTGGAGTCTAATGCTGAGGAATTCCTCGTCAATAGGACCATAAATTATTGCCTAAAAATAGTAAATTAACAAAATCTCTATTTATTAGCATATTTGTTTTATCCGATTTTTTTACTTTTTATTTTTTAGGAATACAATAAAAAATATGGAATCAAAATCCAAATAAATCTTTTTTTGCCGCACACAAAAAACTCCCTTAATAATCTCGTAGAAACTTACTCCCTTAAAAATCGCATGCTAAGATTTATACCTAATTTAATAATATATACGATTCAAATAATTTAATAATATAATAATAGGCTAAATTATTTAGGTAATCAAGTATAATCGATATTAAAATAATAAAAAAACTATAAAAATATTAGTGAATATTATTTAGGTAATCAAGTATAATTGATATTAAAATAATAAACTAACAACTCATTTGTCCAACTGCCGTATAAAATATTATATTATAAATAGACGGTTTGCTATGAAGTGAGAGCCAACCTTCTATATACAGCAAGTAAATCATACCATATTAATAAAATTATTATTGTTATTAAGTAATCAAAGAAGGTTGGCTCCACTATAGAGCCAACGGTTGGTTACATAGCAAAATCGTATAAATAGATCCATCTTAGTCTTCCATATAAATTCCAGCAGCACCAGTTCCTTCTGATTTTGAGATTCTATTTAACAATCAAGGTCAATCTTTTTGTATAAAAAAATATAGAAATATTAGTGAATAGTATTTAACTAATCAAGTATAGTCGATGTTAAAACAAAAGCTCGTTTGTCTGACAGCCTAAGTAATTATCATATTATAAAAAAAAAAAAAAATCATTTTAGGATTCCATTTAAGTTCCAAAGTACCAGATACTTCTAAGCTTAGGGTTCCATGTAGGATCATGGTCAATCTTTATGTCCGTTGGCTATTATTAAGGAATTTGGTTCTTAACCACAACAAATTATATGTTGTTGTTTTACGTGTAAGTAATAGATAAGAGTTGTGAATTGACATGTTCTTAAAAAATTGATTTCTGATAACGATCAATTATATGTTGTTGTTACACGTGTAAGTAATAGATAAAGAAGAGTCTATTGTACGTTGGCATGTTCTTACATAAATTGAATTTTAGTCACGAACAATTATGTTGTTTGTTTCGTTTGTAGGTAATAGAAAAGGGTTGAAAAAATTAGTTTGTGGGGACGACGAGTTGCTCAGTTATTAAACAAATAATGTTGTATACAAGAAAGTTTTAATAATATACTTTTTTCATGAGGAACATTTTATGGTTTGACAATTTCCTTACGAATTATCACTTTTATTTATTAATATATTTTAATATTTAATATTTTTCCAAAATAAATACAACCCCTGCATCGCACAGGTTCCATACTAGTACGTAGAATTAAGGTAAAAAAATATTTAGAGCTTATCCAATCTACATAATTTAGTGGGGTCAGTCCATAAATTGATGTGTCTTAAGTGTATTTAATTTATATGACACATGTTAATATCATTTGTGAATTTCACAATTAAAAATGACTATAAATTATTTGTAAATAACTACAAATAACTTTATGAGTCTTGTCATGGACTTCGTAGTAAAATTGATCAGATCTATATTGATATCAAATTGATTGTACTCATTTTAAAATTATCCGAGAAATGAATGAACTTAGAGTTATTTTCTGTAAGGTTGTTTACAAAATTCATAACAAGAATCGAGCATTTATCGAGCCAATTCGAACTCGACTCGTTAGTAAATAAGTTCGAGTTCGACTCGTTTATCAAAATTAACAAATTGAGTTGCGGTCATTAGAATATTATGTAAGAACATTTGTATCTCTAACCCAACAACCTTTAACAAATCGAACTGAGCAACACTCGTTAACTAAACGAGGTATGAAACCGAACTTGAGCCTTAAAAACCGAGCTCGCCTCACGAGCAGCTAAGTTCGTTTTAGAGCTCAAACAGTAACTCATCAATTCCAGATCCGAAATCAACATGATTTTACACAAGTCTTCTTGTATTCTGATATAGAAAGGACTGCATTAGTGCATTTTGCAGAAATAAATCATTGTAATCTTAAGGATGTGGCAAAATCTTACATTATATCATACTTTGATCTATGAACTCATCTCTGTCCAAGAAAAATCTGTTTTCAAGATATTATAGAATTTGCCATGAGCACTCAATGGCACTTTTATTTTGATGTGGCAAATTTCTTTGTTTTGTTATTCTAAATTTCTAATATTATGCGTCTGTATTTTTGTTAGTATGACCGGTCGACCCGTCTATTTCATAATTAAAAAAATGAAAAAGAGAGGGACATGGGCAACATAAAATTTTTCCCTGCAAATCCTTCATTTGAACATACAGAAAATATTTAATGATAATTGTACATACAGTTTAAGAGTTAAAATGGGACCTTTTCTTAATCATTTTACATCTCACAAGCAGAACACACACAAGCTGCATTTGCCCTGCTTTTTGGGATGTCCCAAAGTGCAGCAAATTTTGAGCCACACATTTTGAGATTCATAGATTAAGATTACACTGCCTAACCTGCCTGCATTAAACCCTTAATTAATTAAATTAATCCAACTACCTCATTATGCTCGATCTCCGCGCAGCTCGGTTCATCACCTTTCTTGATAATCTGAAACACAAAAAGAAAAAAATAATAATAATACGTATATTTCAAATGCTGCAAATACAGTCAGTCTAATTCCGCATGGGTCGACGCTGTATTTTCATCATCAACATCAACATACCCAGTATATTCCCAACAAGTTGGGGTCTGGGGGGTCAGTTGTACGCAGACCTTACCCTTGTAATTATACAAGGAGGCTGTTTCCATAGCGACCCAAGGTGCGCGACGCTGTATTTTCACATTACAAGTTTATGTAATTGGCTTCTCGAATATATAGTTAAGTTATGCAAAATAAAGAATCAAGAATCGGTCGATCGATCACCAACAAACCAACATATTTGTCAAATTCCTCATCCAACATGAACACAGATAAACATGTTGTTTTACTAACAAATCCACAAATATCAAGTGACAAGTCGTTATCTGATAAGTTATCACCAAAAGGATAGATGTATAATATCATATATATTAGTCATTTTTTATTTTATTGCATACCACTTAATTTTATTTATTTATTTTTTTTAATATAAATATCCCAGGGGTTGAGGCTACACCCCCGACCTGTGAATATAATGGCCCAAATAGGCAAAAGTCAATGGTCTACATCCAAGTCGAAAATACATAGAGCAACATCAAAAACAGAAAAAAAAAAATAAAAAGTACAAGGATCACAAAAATATCCGATGTGGATCTAAAATCAAATCCACTTAATTTCTTTCAGAAATTATGTAAAACTAGTTTCTTAAAGATAACTCAATTATAATCAACACACATTTAGAGGATGAAATAAAAGATCGGATCAAATAATATTTTCTTTCGAGTCGGGCAAAAAAAATAAGGAACCTAATAGTACCTTCAAATTTAAGTATAATGTACCTTATTTTTTAGCATCTGGCTGAAACCCTCCTCAAGGAGAAAAAATTTAGGACCAAACCTCACCATAAGAGCACGAGAGTACCACTATATTTGCTTAACCCTTCACTGAAAACCGAGTAATACCTCCCGGACGATGAAATGTTACATACACCCTATATATATCCACAAATAACCATCGACTTTTGCGCCAGAACTTCTTTTCATCTCGCAGCCGAATCTACACCTTTTTCATCAACCGCACGGCAATTTGCATCCATAACGGGCCCTTCTTCCTTTTTTTTCTGAAAAGACCCCTCGGGAACAAAGTTAACGTACTCGCGCCCCTTCGCCACGTCATCATCACCCGAATATCTCGTCGAGTTTTCTGAAACTTGGCAGGCCTCGTCGATAGACGGCAGCAAGATCATCCCCCTACGCTCGGAGAGCAAAGGTAAAGTCGAGCACAAACCGACAGCTTTCAAAACACGGCAAGCGAACGCATCTTTTTCTTTCGGTGGCGGCGGCGAATTCACAATATTACCACCAAAGCACATACTTTCATCCAAAGATCCCTCGTCTTTAGATTCAGTTACGTAAGGCGAAGATTGTGCGGATACGAACGATAAATCTGAAGAAGCTGGCGAAACTGTGAAAGAACTCGAATAGTCTGAAGTCGAAGGGGAAGCCGATGGTGAAGTCGAGCTAGACAGGGGCTTGTTAACCAAAAGGGAAGAAAAAGATTCTACTAGATTCAATGACTGCGAACGAGTCAGGTTACTTTTCGGCCAGCATGGACTGCTTCTGCTCGTCACATAAGAGGAAGCCAATGAATCTGGAGAATCACGCAGCAGGCCACCAGAAACATTTTCCTCGATTTCCTTACGAATAGCAATTGCCCTTAGTCTGTTCCAACCGTTCTCCCGAACTGGAAGGCACGTCTCGGGCCCCACCTCCGCCAAAGGAAAAGGCGGCACGACTCCTCCAGAAAGCGCCCTCTGGAAGATATCAAAATCCAAATCGTACTCGTCGAGTTTTTTCTCATTAGCCGCATCCTTTTCTTTTAAACCATTTGTAAAACAGAAAGCCTCCCAAAATTCGAAACTCTCCTCACCTTCTTTAACAGTTACGACCGGGCCTTTGGCCCGTTCGTAACGAATGAACTGCAAAGCAGCTGAGAACCCCTTTTCAGACATCACGGGCGGGCAGCACTTCCCGATCCAGACGAATAAACCGGATGGCACGTGAACGATAAAAGCCCCACGTGAGTCAAGCTTCCCCGGCCCAGGTTCGGACAGCATTTTCGGGACGAGATGAAGCGGGTCGTACGGAGAATGGGGTGCAATTCGGTACATCTTGAGTAGAGAAGTCGGGCTTGCGGGCTGAGCGTGGACCCGCTTCTGACACTGCAAAAGCTGGCACGCGAAGCCCACGTTGGGATTCGTCACGCCCCGAGCCATTTTTACGAACTCAAACGCATCGTCGAAGCTTTTACCTTCTCTCCACATGAGATAGGCTATGACGAGCGAAGTCGAGCGAGAAACTCCGTGACAACAGTGGACGAACACGCGTCCTCCCTGTTCTCGGACATCCTCGAAATAATCAAATACATCGTACAGAATGCTCGTGATGTCCTCGGACGGGCAGTCCTGCAGCCAAAGGGTCTTGTACACGAGCTCGTTTTTAAAATACTCGGGGCAGCTGAACCCGACGCAGTTGAGCACGTGGGTTATCCCGTTTTTTAAGAGGGTTTCACGGTTTTTCGCAACAGCATCACTGCCTAAGTAGATATGGTTCAAGATTCTAGAACATTCCTTGTCGAAAAAGGCGAGCTTGTCCTTTCTGCACTCGAATTCTCTATCGGGAGCTGGGTTCTCACGTGGGGTGGAGGAGTGGGGTTTTGCACCGGGGGTAGGGGGGTTGGGCCACACCCCGAGGTCATCCGAGCCAGCCTTGGGCCAGTCCTCGATAGTGGGCCGGATTATGGAGAGAGGCTGGAGTGGGGGCAAGCAAGCACGGGCTTTGCTGTTCCATTGCGGGCCCGAACTGGATTTTCTGCGTTCGGACCATGAGACAGATCTTGAGTATGTTCTCCAATTTTTGCCAGGTGACGATGCCTGGTCTTTTTCTTCTTCTCTTAACATTTGAAGTTTTAACCAGCTACTACTCTGTAAGATCAAGTACATCTATTAACTATGCATCTGTATTTTACCCCAAAAAAAGACAAGGAAAACCAGAAAAAAAAAAAAAACTTTCCAGAGCCAAACAATGTCCCAAGAAAATTATGAGCTTCCCAAAGGCAGATGAAGTTGATAATATTTTAGATTGAGAACCCAATATGAGTGAAAAATCACAATTTTTACAATTTCCAGATTCCTGCAGAAAGAAAATCCTCCAACATAAACCCTCAAAAATAATTTGCATCCATAAACTTTATTCAAATCATTCCAACAGCTTGAATTTCAATTTTTAGATGCATAAACCCTCCATTTTTCTTAAAAAAATAAAAAATAAAAAATATTCCCATCGACAGAAAGAGCAAACGTAGTTAAGAACAAATTACGAAAATCGAAACAAAAAATCATCAATTCAACAGAAAACCGATTGAAGTAGATCGAAAACAATGTTCTAAATCCGTCTCAGCAACATGGGAGACCCAATTTAATCAAACAAAATTAAAAAGGGGGGAAAGCGACACTCACATGCCCTAGCTAATCGGCAGTCAGACATGAACAGCAACCGTTTGAATTTGATAATTAGTTCACACGATAGGAGAAAAGGGGAAAAATATTGAAAAGGGGAAATGAAAGATCCGTTCTGCAAAAACGGTTCTTTTACGAGAGAGAAATTGAGAGAGAGAGAGAGAGAGAGAGAGAGTAATGTTGCAGCAGGTGAGCCAAACGAAAAGTGAAGAAGACAGGTTGGCAATTTTCGAGATTTATGTATTATTTATTATTTATTATTATTGTTATTAATATTATTACAGATTTTTTTTAGTCAGTCACGGTATCCGGAGCTATGCCCCAACTAATCCTTTGGTCGACCCGGATCGCACACCTAAAACAAGGATTTTCTGCATCCACAAGGACTCAAACCCGAAACCTTGCTTAAGCGACATTAAACTGCTTACCACTTGAGCCAACTCCTGTTGGTATATTATTACTGGTTTTGCAAAAATAAGATCTAGTTTTTTTGGGTTAATTGCATTTAAAATCATAATTTTTGTATAATTGCAAATAAAACTCAACTTTTTTAATTTAGCAAAAAATTTCCAAACTTTTAATAAGTATTACAATTGTGTCTCAAAATCAGTTTTTTGCCATAACAAACCTTGAATAAGATGACCGGAAAAGTCGTCGCTGTGAAAAGTCACCGGTTCCGGTGAAGGTAGACGTCACTAAATGCGGCTTTGCGAGAGGAGTTCAACGGTACCTTCGGATTCACATGGGTCAAAGCGAGTCACCGGAAATTTGCGAAAGAACGATCTACGATTTCGACCGGAAATTGGAAACCTTATCGTCGGAATCTTTTTGTGAAACTCAGATATGTTGTCGGCACGGAGGAGAGCTACAAGATCATGTAAATATTTTCAACATTCGGCAAAGTTGGTCGGCGGGGAATGGCGGTTGGCGGCGGTCCGACGGGTGAGATACAAATGCAATACATATTAAAGATTTGGTATTTTTTTGTCAAATTGAAAAAGTTGAGTTTTATTTGCAATTACACAAAATGTTAGGATTTTAAATGCAATTAACCCTTTTATTAATTATTTTTATTTATACATGTGAATGATTTTTTTTCTTGTTTTAATTTCTCTTATGTTTTGGGTAGATATGGGCAACCCGACCGGCCCGTCGGTTCCGGGCCTGGTCGAATGAGTTAAAAGGTTTGATTGAATATGATTTTGATTTGATTTTAAATGGTTATTTTGTTAATTATAGTTAATTTTAAAAAATGTGGTATGATTAATTGCTAGTGGAATTATAAATTTAATTAAAAAATTATTTTTTAAATAAAATAACTAAAATTGATTTGGTGTAAAAGTGTGAGAGATATAAATGTAAAGTGATGATTAGTTAAAATAACGTGAGTGGATGTATATGAATTAAAGTTGACGTGATTTGTAAAAATGACTGATAGATATTTATTTAAATATATTGATGATATTGAAAATAGTAGAGTTGAGTTAAATTTGAGTAAAAAAAATGATTGAGTTAATTTTTTTTTTTTTTGGTTCAAATTCATATCCAATCACACTCTAAATGTCTCAATTTTTTTATTTTTTTTTTATATTTTAACTAGTTAGGATTTTTTGTTGTTCTTATTCTATAATTATCGAGTTGGATTCGATTTTGACTTGATTTTGCTTGAATTTAGAACCAGCTTCTAATTACACTCGAGCATGGTCCTCTCCATGACATAAACCCCTAGTTAACTAACTCGACATGAAAGTCAACGGCCCGAACACAGACAAAGTCAAACGGGTCCAAACACGGACAAAGTCAACTGGCCCGAACCCAACCCATGGCCACATTTAGGCTCTACTTTGAGTTTTGACATTCTTCTTTAGTAAACAAACTATTTAGAAAAAAAAAAATACTAAAAAAATATTTTGTGTATGTTATGAAATACGGGGAATATAAAGAACACAATGTATAAAAACCGGATAAATTACAACAAGCTTTCTTTCTTCCTTTTTCCTTCACTTTCGTACAAATTATACAAAGCTGAAGATGCCTTTTTATAGGCAAAAGTTTGAGCCTATTGGCACACATTTCAAGTAACAAGATAACATATATATTAATATTAGTGGTAATTTCATATATTTATAATATGTTATGAAATACGGGGAATATAAAGAACACAATGTATAAAAACCGGATAAATTACAACAAGCTTTCTTTCTTCCTTTTTCCTTCACTTTCGTACAAATTATACAAAGCTGAAGATGCCTTTTTATAGGCAAAAGTTTGAGCCTATTGGCACACATTTCAAGTAACAAGATAACATATATATTAATATTAGTGGTAATTTCATATATTTATAATAGTGTACAGCTTTTGAATCTTCAATGTAGTATTGTTGAGCATTTAACTTTTGACATGGTCAAATTTTATTTTAAGAAATCATGTGCATGTTTGACATATAAACTCGACTAGATTTGCTCACGCCGTGCACGCACGGCGGTCTAACACCCCGTGTAAAACCACAGTAAGAATTCAATAAAACTACAGTAAAAATTTGAGATCTAACTTGGACCACCAGTGACCACTTCCAT